TCCCCAAGTCCCCTTCCTCACATCATTGATTTCCCTTCTAGTATTACAATGGGTGGTCCTTCATGAACAGTCATTAGTCCATAGGGCTCAGCAATTAAAAAAATATTTATTTGAGAGGCAGAAGGACAAAGAGAGACTGAGGTAGACAGACAGAGAGGAGAGAGCAAGCTGCTCACTCTCCAAATGTCTGCAGTGACCTTGTACTGGGTCACAGTGAATCTGAGCACTATGAACTTAACCCCAGTTAGCCACATGAGTTGCAGGAACCTAATTACTTTGAGCCATCATCACTGTCTTCCAGGTCTCCAGTAGCAAGATCCTGGGATTTGGGGCTAGAGAGGAACATGGAACCCTGGGACTTGGATATGGACATGGGCATCTATAGACTGGCATATATAACCCAGAAATGAGCAGAAAGAATTCTATTCAATGCCATTGGGAATGCAAAATGGTATAGCCATTTGGAAGCCAATTCAGCTTTTTCTTAGAAAACTAAGCATGCTGTCTGGATATGATCCAGCAACCACACTTCTTGATATTCACCCAAAGGAACCAGGAATTTATGTCCACACAAAAACCTGTGTGTAAATATTCATAACAGTGCTAAACATAATTGAAGAAATGGAGGCGTGTGGAGGGAGGAGACCTGTGGTAAGTAAGGTGCATCACTTGAGGGTGATTCAGCCGTGAACAGCTGAGGATGAAGTGCCAGGAGCTGTGACTGATGCAGTCCATCTTCCCAGCAGCTGCACTGTAGGTCTTGGGAGGCTCTGAACCTAGGTGGGAAAAGTAATGGGCTTGCCACCACGCAGCCTCAGTCTTGATCTTTGCTTCTTACTCTTCTCATTGTCCCAAATCCTGTTTCCTTGATGAAGACGCAACAAGAAGGTCAAGATGGTTGAACTTCCTGCAGGTTCTACAGGTTCAGGAGCCAGTGGGAATTGTGATAACAATTGGTACAAAGGGAGGAGGGGCATTGTAGTAAAGACCTCTGGGGAGCTGGATGCTCTTTCTGTGAGTGGTCAGAGGGCATCAGCAAATGGGAGGAATGAGCCTTGTGGAGGGACAGCTGATACCCAGGCTGATTCTGAACATTGTAATCAATGAAGGGGTGATTATGTATATAACACTCAGTGCCCATTAGCCTATGTCTCTTTCCTAAGGGAAAGCCCTCACCTTCCACACATAAGTTCATCTCACCCCAGGCAAGAAAGAGAAGCACTTTGGATTAGAGAAGTCAAACACAGCTCTACCACAAAAATTCCTTTTAAAGAGAGCTTATTGAAACATTTGAAAATACATTTAAACAGCAGAATTTTATGACTACAGTAAGCTCCAGTTGCCCAACTAAAAATAAAAATATAAAACACTACATTCTCATTAAGTTCAGCTCCATTCGAGGATGTTCCCATTTATAGAGTCACACAACAAAATATTAGCTTCATCAGAGATTAGTTTAACACAAATATTTGGCATCTTACCAGAAAGACCATAAGGCTATTGTCAAATCAGTGAAAATTCTTTTACAAGCAGTAAGGCTGGCCATCTGCTGTGGTTGGCAAAGAAAAGAACATATTTCAAGATGCAAACACATCCCAGTGCCACCCTACAGAATGCCAACCATCTTGGCTGTAGATGATTTGGATCTCATACTGTCTTTAAACTGAAATACAATTTCTTTACATAGGAGAGAGCTGGTAGAGAATAGATGTTCTGTTTATTACTGTAAACAGCAACCATTTCTTAATACTCTTTTGCCTTCTTGAGAAAAATCTCTCTGAAAGTCATTAGTACCCATTTAGTTCAGCAAACAAAACTGTGCTTTTGCTGTAATCAAGACATTGGACTTTGGGTTTTGATATGCACAGTGAAAGGGATCTTTAACAAGCTTTCAACTGAGCAGGAGCTTTGGACACACACACATATTTGTTCAGGCAAGGCAAGAGTCAGAGAAAGACTTAAGAGATATGAGAATGAGCCTGACCAGGAGTATCATGCAAGAAGTTCAACAAGTTGTAAGGGAACTGTGGTAGCCATCTAACAGGTGTTTTTCCCTCCAAGTTTTTGGGTTACCTCTAGGGAAATTATGCCTGTCCTCAGCTCAAATGACTTCAAGAAGATGTCCCTGCCACACCATGAATACGCCCAGTGGAGCCTGGGTCTTGTGCTATGTCTTCTAAATTCTTAGGAATGACAGCGATGAAAACAAAAGAAAGCAAACCCCAATGAATATTTTTACATCCATAATCAAATTAAACAATTATTGAGATTTTGGTAGACATTTTATCCTCTTTATTATTCCTGTGCCTCTGGACAACTTGCATTTTCAGCTCTACATATTTCAGTATGCAGCTCTCAGAAGCATGGTCATTTTCCTACATGGTCAATTATCAGTATTATATCTTAAGATTTCTTGGTATTGATTAATAGCTGGCTCGTTTTCAAATTTCCCTGATGATCTGAAAATTGTATTTTTAAGTTGGATTCTTTGAATCATGTTATCAAAGCCACATGGCATGTCCTTTTCACCCCACTGTGTGCCACTGACTTGTTGAGGGAGCTGTGTCAGTTGTCTTACAATGCTGCCAAATCTGAGTTAATTTGGTAGCCTCTTTATAGTGTTTTAATTTTTTTGTAGTTTTTTTTTTGAAAAAAACATTTATTTTGTTTACTTGAAAGACAGAATTACATAATAACATAGGGAGAGGGAGAGGGAGAGAGCTTCCATTCACTGGATCACACTCCAAAGGCTACAAAGGTTAGGAGACCAGAACTTCATTGGGGTCTCCTATGTGGGTTGGGGGGTGTGGGGGACAAGCACTTGGGCCATCATCTGCTCCTTTCCCAGGCACTTTAGCAGGGATCTGAATAGGATATGGGAATGGATCAGCCGGGACTTGAGTCAACATCCATATGGGGTGCAGGCCTTGCAGGTAGTAGCTTGATCTATCTGTTACATTCTGGCTGGAGTCCCCTGTATTTCTTAAATAAAAATTACCTGATGTCTGCTTGTCCCAAATTTAGTAAAAATAGTGATTCATCAGAGGGTTCAAGTGGTGATAGCCCATCCTTCTAGGATAAGATTTTCAACCTGTGCCCAACATTGTGGCATATTGGATTAAGTAACTGCCTGTAATGTCAGTATCCCATATGGGAATGGGTTGAAGTGCCAGATGCTCCACTTGTGATTCAGATCCCTGCTAATGTGTTCCACTCCTGTGGCAGACCGGGATGAAGCTCCCGTCTCCTCGTTTTAGCCTGGCCCAAACCAGCCATTATGGTCATTTGGTGAATGAATCAGTGGATGTAAGGTTTCTTTCCCTCCCTATCAGTAAGTAACTCTACCTTCCAAATACATGAATACATTTTCACAAAAAATTTCCAACCCACCATCTTATGATCCATTGGTTTCATCCAATGATAATCTTTACCTGGACCATTGATTTCAATAGGGATCACAAAGTGGTAATTTTCCAATTTTTATCATTTTTCCACACTTACTTTTTAGAACTTTCATTACATAAAAATTCTCCATGTCCAATAAACTATCCAGCTAACTCAAATATACTTGATTTGGTAAGGCAAATTTCCTTATGATAGCCAGTTTTTAGGTTACCACTTCTTTTATTAATAATCTTTTAAAACTGCAAAATATCACAGATGCAGAAAGCCAGGTTAAATAGCTAATACCTTCATAAGTAATTGTGTCAGAACCACCATCCAAGAGAGGAAGCAGAATTTTCTCTGTAAGCCTGCTTGCCTGATTATTTCCATCCTTCTTGTTTGATAAAAGTTAGCTATGTACTTTATTTTTAAAATCACTTTTGCTAATTTCCACAATACGTTTCCGTAGTATAGGGGTTCTCCCCTTGCCCTGCCCTTTCTTGCTCCCTAGTTTCCTCTCCTAACATTCCACCCCCCATATTAGGATAGTCCGTTAGTATATTCCTTTACTCTTTTTAAAAGAAGATTTATTTTATTTTTATTGCAAAGTCAGATATACAGAAAGGAGGAGAGACAGAGAGGAAGGTCTTCCCTCTGGTGATTCACTCCCCAAGTGACCACAAAAGCAGGTGCTGCACCGATCTGAAGCCAGGAACCAGGAGCCTGGAGCTCTTCCGGGTGTCCCAGGCGGGTGCAGGGTTCCAAGACTTTGGGTCGACTTAGCCTGCTTTCCCAGGCCACAAACAGGGAGCTGGATGGGAAGCGGGGCTGCCAGGATGGGATCCTGGTGTGTTCAAGGCGAGGACATTAGCCACTAGGTCACCGTGCTGGGTCGCTATTCTTTCACTTTTGTCCCTTGCTTTTCTTCACAATTTTATCACCCAAGCGTACATCTATAAACACTATACTTACTTTCACTTGTTTATCTGAACCTTAATCTGACTTTGTAAAAATTTTCTTTTAATTTACAAGTTCCCTTTCTATTGATTTATTTCTCCTTGAAATTTATTTGCTAAAGAAATTTGATTTTTTATTTTGTAGAGGTTCTTGATTTAATTGATGGTCTACCCAGGATATAGTGCATGTAGATTGGTCTATGTATTTTATGTAAATTGGGAATTGTTTGGACGCTTAATGTTTTTCTTTAGTAGATTGCTTAGGAAACGCTATTGAATGCCTATGACCCACCACACTGAAGATACTGCTAAACTCAGATTGTTGCCAACTAGGTACGTGAGAAGTGATATCTTATACTAGTTTTAATTTGAATTTCTCTTATTATGAGTCAAGTTGAGTAGTACTTAAAAATTTGAAACCCAAAATGACAGAGAGGGACACACACACACACAATTTTCTATTTGCTTCTTTACTCACCAAGTGTCTGCACCAGCAGGGGCCAAGCCAGGAATTCTATCTGAATCTCTCATGTGGGTGGCAGCAATTCAAGCACTTGGGTATCATCTGCTGCCTCTCAAGGATACTCATAGGAAGACAGATTTGAAGTGGACAGTAGCTGGAACTGAAAGCAGACATGCTGATATGGGTAGTGGGCATTCCAAGCAGTAGCTTAATCTGTTCAACCATAACAGGGCTGATTAGTTTTCATGTATAAGGATCACTTCTTTTTTCTTTTCTCTCTGTTTACTTACTTTTTCTATTGGGATTTGGCACTTCTTCTGCCCACGCTTTCCTCATCAGTTACCACACTTTTAAGACTTGAGACTTGGGTGAGGCACTCCGACACATATCCAAACCACAACGTCATCTAAGCACACATTTTCTTTGTTCAACCTATATTTGTATATGATTTTGGCTGTCATATCTCTTTCCAGTGTGGTTCTTTAATTGCTGTTTTTAATCCTAACGGTATATTTTTGGCATGTGATTCTATACTATGTTTAATATCATCTGGGGCTAACCCCTTTATATTCTACTTTTTGTAATTGGGGTTATAATTGTGTTATTTTGAATGCATATTCAATTTGTCTAATCTGAGAAAAAAGAAAATCACTCAATTTTTTGGGAGGGATCATGCCAAATTCATCAATTCCTTTAGGAAAAGTTAATTTTTTTTAATATTAAGTCTTCCTGTGTATATTAGTTATCTTTTTGTTTATAAAGCTACTACCTAAGACAAATTATTTATAAGGAAGGAAGTTAATTTTGCCTCAGAGATTTGGAGGTTTCCAGTCCAACATTTGTCTGGTATCATTAGGGGCAGTAGATGGCAGAATATATGCTGAAAATGGTTCCTTCATAAGCCAGAAAGCTCAGAGTCTGGGTGGATCTTCACTTTTATAATCCACTCTCTGGTGAGCACTACCTTCAAGGACACACCCCCAGTGACCTAAAGAAATTCTCCCTTGGCCACCTCCTAAATATCATAACTGGATTAAGTCTCCACCCTTAATTCACTAATAACATTAATCCATTAACCATTAATATGGAACTGGGGACCCTTTAACATATGGACTCCAAGTAACATCAAACCCTAGTACCTTCAAAGTAGGTGCTTTCTTGTTTTTTTTTTTTATTCTTTTATTTTGATAATCATTACATAGTTGAATAGAGTAGGTGCTTTCTTGTTTTCTTTGCTTTGGTCTATATCGGGCCTTTCAGTAAGAGTATATATGTATATATTTACTTATTTCAATAGTTTTAAAAAATACTTATTTTCTGTTAAAATTTGTCATACATAAGTTTTGTGTTTCATATTAGATTCATGTCTGGATGTTTAATCTTTTTGATATTAGCATAAAAAGGATCTGATATATTACACATTCCTACTGGTGGCTGCTTAAACATATGAAAATGATTTACTTCTGAATATCAAAGTCTTTTCAGTTGAGGACTGCTATGGCTACACTGCTTAGAAATTTGTTAACGCAGTGATAGATGATTCAAACAAGAAAGGAATCCATGAATCAAGGCAAGGTCAGGAGTGAAGGGAAGGGACACAGGGATGCATATCCCAAAGTATAAGACTTGGAAACAAACTTGATGTTGGCAAGATGGCAAAGGAAAGGGCAAAATGACTTTATTGGTTTTCTTTTTATAAATTTGTTATTTGTTTACTTTTAAACAGCTTAAATCCTTGAGGGCTACAGCAGCATAGGCATTCTGTGTCCAATGACCATCTTGAAGACTATAACGACAACATTAATAGTTACTGGGATAGCAATAGGTTGGGGAAATAGTTTGGGACAGTTAGATTTGAGTGGGGACATCTACATTTGATGAAGATCCAATCTTAAAATTTAGACTTGAAAGCCATCAAGTAGAGCTATGAAATTTTTGAAACGATGAGGGGAAAGCAGGCTAGGTAGGAAGAAAAAAACCGATGACAGAATTTCAAAGAACTTCTGTATTTAAATACGAGGCTGAGGAGGTTAGTCCCTGAAAGAGATGTATATTGACGCATCAGAGATAAGAAGTGAACAGAGCACAATCCCATAGAGACCAAAGGAAAATGAATCACAACTACCAATATTGAAATAGCAATTTTAGGCCCAGCGTGATAGCCTAGTGGCTAAATCTTCACCATGCATCTGCCAGAATCCCATATGGGCACAGGTTCGTATCCCACCTGCTCCACTTCCCATCCAGCTCCTTGCTTGGTAGATTGGGAAAGCAGGACAGGATGGTCCAGTGCCTTGTGACCCTGCACCAGCATGGGAAACCTGGAAGAAGCTCCTGATTTTGGATTGACCGAGCTCCAGCCTTTGCAGCCTCTTGGGGAGTGAATCAGCAGATGGAAGATCATTTCCTCTGTATCTCCTCCTTTTCCCTGCCTCTCCAATAATAAAATAAAATAAATCTTTAAAAAATAGCAGTTTCAGAACTGTTATGATAGTGAGATTGGACTGTGAAGCATTAAATAAAGAGATCATAATGACTTGCAGTAGATTTGTGTTAGGACATGTCATCTGTGTGCCTTTTAAACATGTGAAATACAAACACCAGAGGTCTCATGATTCTAGGTATTTATGTGGATATCAATTAAACAAACATGCTGAGAGCTTGGTCTCAATTAGCTAGCAGTTAATTTTTACTGACAGTTATTTCTTGTTGATGACCACTAACTCTGAGTTCAACCGTTGGCCTGAAAATGGCAAGCAAAGGTGCGTCTGTGGGTGGATGGAACACTTCAAGAAAAACATGACATTAAATGCTACAAAGGATAAGACTTTCCCCACTCTTAGATAAATGTCTGCCCTTTTAAATAAATATTCATGACAACTGCAGCTTAAACTTGGAGCTTACAAAGCGCCAGTTCTCACTGAACTTCACAGAAGATTCAGGGATGTAACCAGGTTAGGAGTCAGTATTTGCTAAAGCGCAGCGAAGGTAGAAGGCACGATGGATTGTGGTCTGCATCTCAGATGTCCTCATGCCCTGGCCTAAAGACACGTTCTGAGCCAGATGGAAGTGCAGGAAATGTTGAATGCTAGCTACTCTGATTCAGAAAAGGCAATCAAATGCTGATTAATGACCAGGTTTTAGACTGTATTTTTAGTCTCCCCTGGAAAAATCATGCTGAAGTTGATCATCAGGAGAAAGCGCTGACATATCCATCCCTGCTACCACTCCAGGGGTGAGGAAGCGGAGTAGGACGGCACTGATCCTGCTCCCAGTGGCATCACTGCACCACTCCATGATATTCACAAAACAGATGATGTGGCACAGGAACATGAGCACCCCCCAATCTCTAAGAATTGCAAGAATGGAGCCCGGAACCAGGATGTTGAAAAGCTTTGTTTCCTTGAGTTTGCTGACTTGAAAAAACTACTAAAAATGGGTAGGAAAATGGCACTACTTCATTGTCATCCTCTCCTTTAATATTAATCTAGCTTGCATGCTGTGAGGAAGTCAAGGTAATGCTTGGGTTTCTACTGTTCTGCACACTAGAAAGAGGCGAGAGTGAAACCATGCAACCTATTGCACATTTGCCACAGGAAAGTCTTCATCCCTTCCTTCAAAACGTTGGCCGAACTAATAAACAGGCCAGAACTATGTGGCTCACCATTAGAAAATGCTCTTTCCTAGAGTCATGCTATGATTAACATAGTGGAGACTTAAACCCTGGTATGGACCAAAAACCAGACTACTATCTTGACTTTCAGTTTGATTCATTGAGTTGTTTTAATAGTTTGGCATCTTAAATCTCACCTTCCCCTGCCCCCCCAACCCCCCACCTTCCTAGCTATAAAATATTTAAAGGTTGTGTTCAAATCAACATGTTTTAACATCCTCTCCTGTAAGAGAAAGTGATGAATGTCCAGTAACCCCAAAACGAACCTAATATTCTCCAGTTTTGCTCATCACCTTCTGATGGCTATGTTGGTTAGGATGTGCATTTGTGTTGAGTCATGGAAAAAAATCCAAGTACGACTGAAGTCATAAAGAAACTTACATCTCTCTCAGGTAAAACACATCCAGAGGTAAGCAGTCCTTTGCACAGTCCTCAGAGGTTCACACTCCTTACGTCTCAGGATCCTGTTATCTTCTGTGTGGCTTCACCACGCAATGCCCTGGAGCTGGTTGACTTCTGGCTGAAACATCTGCAATCTGTTAGGACGGAAGAAAATGGGGGGCACTTCAAAGAAGTAGCTCACACACCATTTCGATGAATCCTTTTGGTTGAGTACACTTAAGTGCAAGTGGAGCTGATGTATGTGGTCTTTCATTCACATGGCCATGTGAATTGCTAAAAATTGAAGGATTCTAACTGTAGGAGGAAAGGGGAAAATACATGCAATGGAACTTAAAAAAAAAATCAAGGTGGAATTAAAAAATGTACTTTGGGGCCAAAACATTTTTAAAATTTACGTTTTTTTCCCCTGATTACATTCTCCATAAGTTTTTGACTGATCCCCACATGAGTGGGAAACAGCACTCTGCTACAGTGACCTCATCACACCCTGCACTCCTGGGTACTGCTTACCTTCGTAATTTCATAGTAAAATTTAAAAATGGCAGTTGTCTCTTCTAACCTCTGGTACAGAGACTGACATATTTTGGACACTTTATCATCGGTTCAACAAGAAACTGGGTTTTCTTTCTTTCTTACCCCTTCCACCCTCATTTTTTTTTTTTTTAAAAAAACTATATATATAGGTTGATTTCTTTATTTGAAAGGCAAAGAGGAGAAAGAAACAGAGAGAATATGAACTGACCTTCTATCTGCTGGTTCACTTCACAAATGGCCATGATGGCAATGATTGGGCAGGCCAAAACCAGGAGTTTGGAACTGCATCTGGGTCTCCCTTGTGCTGGCAGGACCAAGGACCTTGGGACATCTTTTTCTTCCTTCCCAAGTACATTAGGAGGCAGTTAGAGTAGAGCTGCCTGAACTCCAAGCAGTGCTCAAGTGGAATGCCAGCATTGTAGATGGTGGCTGAACCCTTCCTTGGTGTAGTCCTTAGGTTTTATTTCTAATGACATTTTAAAAGTGGTTCAGGGACCAGCATTATGGCACAGTGGGTTAAGCTGTCATCACAATGCTGGTATCCTATACTGGATGCAGGTTGGAGTTTTGGCTGCTTAGCTTCTGCTTCAGCTCTCTGTTGATGAGCCTGGGAAAGCAGCAGAAGATGGATGAAGCTTTGGGACCGTCACCCACATGGAAGAACTGGATGGAGTTCTTGGCTCTGGCTTCAGCCAAGCCCAGCCCTGACTGTTGTGGTCATTTGGTGAGTGAACCATTAGATGGAAGATCTCTCTTTCTCCCTACTTCCCCACCATTCTGATTTTCTAATTAACAATAAATAAATTTTTTTTTTAAAAAAAGTAAAAGTGGTTTAAAAACAAGTATGACTTGGCAAAGCTCTAAGAAATGTGCTTAGAAAACTGGATATAAAACAAAATTTTGCATTTAAAATTTCTCTCTTTATATCACTGTAATATATTTATTTTCATATCTAGAAGAGACAGATAAGAATTCAGAAAATTCAGAGCAAAGTGATCAAATACAGGTAAAATCTAAAGGCTTTTCAAAAATGAAAAGGAACTATTAAGAGATGAGAGTATTTAAGGAAGTTCACGAAAATGAAATCAAGACAAATTTACTAAGCTTTTTCTTAAAATTTTTGTTGTTTTAAAACAGCATCTTAAGATATTTATTCATTTAAAAGGCAGAGTGACAGACAAAGCCAGAAATGACTACAACATGGTGGGTCTAGGTCAAAGTCAGACCAACGTTTTAATCCAGGTCTCCCACACAAGCAGCAGGGACTCACACACTTGAGGCAGCATCAGCTGGTGCATTAGCAGAAAGCTGGATGGGAAGCTGGGCTGAGACTTGATTCCAGGCATTCTGAAATAGGCTGTAAGTATCCCAAGCGTGGCTTACCTGCTATGCCACAAGGCCTGCCGAACTTTTATTTGAAAGGCAGAGAAACAGAAAGAGATCCTCCCACTGTTGGTTCATTTCCCAAAGCCAGGAGTCTGCATTTTCCAAGAAGGAAAGAGACAAAAGTACTCGATGGCTCATGTGCCAGGCTATGTGTCAGCAGGCCCTGAATTCAAAAGTAAAGCCAGACTTCAACCCAAGCATTCCATTTTGGGATGTGAGTGTCCCAAGAGGTGACCTGATCACTGTGCCAAATGCCCACTCCTGGTACACAACATTTTTGAACATGATACACCGATTGTTTCATGCTGGGCATGTTGCACATAAGTTTTTTTGATAATCTCTCATAAGGACTGGAGGTTGAAAAGAAACTGAAATAAAACTTGGCTCTAAATTTTAAATCAGAATAAAAAAGTCAAAGAAGTCATCAAACGACTGCAGCGTTGTGAGAGCAACTTTGTCACACACAGCATCACAGTTAATTACTGGGCTTTGGAATGAAGAGAATCTTGGTTCACTGGCCAAGAGCTGTTATCTCTACTAGTGACTTTCTGAACCAAAATTTTCTAACCTACCAAATGAAATTCGTTCAGAATCAGTACAAACAGGAAACGATGTATATGCAAATACCTACAAACTTTAACATAGATTTGGTGCAAAAACAAATCCAGATATGTTAACAATACCATTCACATATTTTAAAATTCCCTTCTCACCAAGAAGTATGTGCTTCAGATAAAATCTTCCTTTAAAAGTGCGGTCTATGCTTTTTTATTTCTTCTCCTACAGATTATAGCTCCAGCACTGTTTTATATGTGTATGTGTGTATATATTTTTAAAAAAGATTTACTTATTTTTTTTATCGGAAATGCAGTTTTACAGAGAGAAGGAAGGGACAGCAAGATCTTTTATCTGCTGGTTCACTCCCCAAATGGCTGCAATGGCCAGAACTAAGCTGATCCAAGGCCAGGAGTCAGGAACCTCCTCCAGGTCTCACACATGGGTGCAGGGTCCCAAGGCTTTGGGCTGTCCTCTGCTGCTTTCCCAGGCCACAAGCAAGAAGCTGGATGGGAAGCAGAGCAGATGGTTCACAAACTGGCATGAATATGAGATTCTTGTGCTTGCAGAGGGGATTTGCCAATTGAGTCACTGCACTGAGTCATACATATATATGTATATATATACACACACATACATATTTAAAGAAATCTGACAGAAAAATTGCACATAAATTATGGGCTACTTGGTGATGCTCCAATACACGTATAGATGGTAAAATGTACAAGCAGGATAATTCTATCGATCCTTAGAGTGAATTGAAAACATCCCGAAATCCCATCTTCTAGGGTTTTAAATAGAGAAATACACAGTACCTTCACATCTTCTATCTTCACCATATTGTGCAATAGGCTCCTGGAACTTCTTTACGCCTATCTACTTACAACCTAGTCCCTGCCAATCAAAAGTTCCCAATCCCTCCCTCTCCACTTACCTTCCCAAACACTGGTAATCACAATTATATTTTTAACTTCCATGGGATCACCTACTTAAGACTCCACACATGAGTGAGATCCTATGATAACTGTCAGTGCTTGGCATATTTCACATTTATGACAACATCAAGCTCTCTGCCATGTATCATTTATTGGTAATAGTTCCCACATTGGCAGCAGGGTTCTAATGCATGAAATATCTCTGAATCTTTGGTATTGCAGAGGAGCAGTACTGTACTGCCTTGTGCTGACTTTTTTCCACATCTCCAAATGTTAGGAGTCAAAGGAAGGATGAAGGGCAGTGGGTCTATTTAAAACTGTCTAGATAAAACATAACCCATAAATCACCTTAAGATCCAGTCAGTTTGATATAAAATGTTTTTAATTGTTCTTGAAAACATTTAAAAAACAATTTTTGAGCACTTTCAATAAAAAAAGAGAACTGAAATGCTACTGCGATATTCAACTACTGTAGTTTCAGCAGGTACAACAGACAACAAAACACTGGGGAAATCTGACTTTTTTGCACTAAATGAAAACATGAAACAGGGCTTATTTTTGTCATTTATGGTGTAGTAAAGCACATTGTAGTACAAGACTATTATTTGAACCTCAGATGCACTGCACAAAAACCACTTTCCTTCTTTTCAGTTCCAAAGTCAGTGCTTATTGCAATTATATGCAAAATTATTTACTTCATGAAGTCTTCTCATGATAAACAGTATGTAAAATGTTTTAAACATCAAAACATTGAAAATAATCCCAGAAAAGAACATATTCAACAACAACTAAGCAGAATTAGTAAACATAAAAAAGTAAATAACTTGTGAATAACTATGCTTGCCTGGTTAACAGTGAACCAGTTTCAATACAGCCAAGAAAAAAAAAAAGTGGTTACAGGAATACCTAGTACTGTACAAGATAAGTCAATAACACTCATGCACGTTTTGTGATCATGTATTAACATGGTGAAGCAAACTAAACTTAATTCTTCCTGCTGTAATATTCTCATGTAAGAGAATAATAGAAATATCTCATTGAGATCAATGCACATTGCTACATAAGACAATTTTATCTGTCACTTTGATGACATTTTTTGTCTTTTCATAATGAAACACATTTAAAAAGTTTAATCTGTGGACTGTATTGGTTGCATTTATCCTAAGAGATGTGCCTACCACAGGTTCAACAAATTTAGTGCAATATAGAACCCCAGAAAGTTTGCTGGACGAATTCAACCAAATTGAAAGTTTGCTGCAATACTGTACAGGGGGTTAAAAATCCTCCAGTCTTTGTATTCTTTTTTTTTTATCAAAAAAGATTTCCATTATTTTTATATTAGTAGGAAGCTAATAATGTAAACAAGGGATTAGAATGGCCTCAAAAATCTCCTTTTCAGAGTATCTCACATAGAAAGGCTCCCATCATTTGTTAAAAGAAATCACACAGTCTCCTTTGGGTATTGCATACTTTGGTGTGCAGTAGTGCTGTGTCTCAATGTACAGTGAAGAAATAACTAGTATCAAGGAAAACATCTAACAGATCATTAAATCAAGATAACAGCAAACACACACAAATGCCAATAACTAGGACATACCAACATATAAACCTGTGAGCCAATGCTAGCACCAGTTATATATCAAAATATGTTAATACCCTAGCTTGCAAATTATTGAACAATGAAACTTTATTAAATTAAACCTTTCATTACATTTGTTAAATATTCACTGATTGTAGTCTTCTGATTGGCTTTCTAATTAAGGTTGACAAGATGTCTAGCTAGGTTCAAGGTGGCAAAGCAAATGGTTTAATGTTAGCTTTAAAAACTTAACGGCAATTATAAACCCTCTTGCAAGTGATCTTAAAACACACGGAGCTGTTGGCTAGTGAGTAGATCTGTGTCAATGTGAAATTCATAAATATATTCATAAACAAAATGGGAGCCATAGAGAGAGACATTTTAAAATAAATCCTGAGTGCTTTGCTTCTTTCGCAATTGTGGTTATCACAATAAATAAATTAAGCATGTAATAAAATGCTCCTCTTATTCAAGTACAACTGATATCTCCTTTGTGCTATCAGAGATATAAAGAATTGTGGCTTCAGACCTTAGGTGGTTAAACTTTTTCATTCAGTTCGTGTTATCTTCCTGCTTATTTGTTTTTCAAAGGGATCCCATGATCAAATTGCATTCCTATATTCAGCAGAAGTGAAGGAGTCAGTCACTAAATTGAGGAGGAAAAAACTGATTACTAAAGAATATTATAATGAAAGATTTAAAAATAAATCTTAAATAGAATTTTAATATGTACATGCAGCCATTGTATTGAAACTAAAATGCTTTTATTTTCCTTCAGATACCCTTATCTCAACTAGTAAATAAAACATGAAACACTTTTCTAATACACTTGTATTTATTCTACTAAATTACATTCTAGAGTTGATGACTTGTGCGTGTCTGTGTGTGCATGTGTGTATGTGTGTGTGTGTCTTGAGTGTATACATGTACAAGTGTGTGTACCTATATATCTCTATGTGGTAGCTCCGTATTAAAATCAACATTTTAAAATAAGACTAATACGGTCACAAATATAAATGGCTACTAGTTTTTCCTCTTAAAAATTTTAGTGCAGCTTTTGTTTTTCTTAAATTAATACTTAATGTTCCATTATTTTCTCCTATTTCAGCCCTTCATTGTGGGTATAAACGGTACTGAAGCCCCAGAAAGTCCTACAGAGATTCTCCGTCCTACAGTAGCTCTATGCTTCAAGCCTAAATAATTAAAATAACCTGAATAGTATCCCTGTTTCAAGGAAGACCTTCTCCTCTACAGTTCATCCTCACTATGATTTCATATCTAAAAGATAACGCTAACAAAAAAAAAATAGCCTACACCTAAAACTGATGGTTTCTTCCAAATTCTGTGTAGATTAACCGATGAATTAAAATTAACTTATACAAAATCAAGATCTAGACTGCCTTTGTGAAAGAGGGACAGTCAGTCTGTTACTAGCAAACAATGTGATTAAATTGGGGCACACTGCAAAATTTAAAACCTAATACTTGCTCTTCTACAGCCTGCTGTCTTCAGCAATTCGTTGAGAACTGAGGCAAGTTTACCCATTTCCTACTGAAGAAGAAACCACTGCTGCAGCAAACGCTTTGCAAATGTCACAATGAATCGTCGGTGTTTCTGCTGCGGGAGGCACTTCCATTAAGACAAATACAATACATATGTCTTTAGATACAGTGTGCTACATATTATAAAACACAATTTAACCCAACATTTCAACAGTAGGGTGGTCCTTGCTTTCTATCCACTCAAAACCTGATGAAGTCATAGAGTTCATGGATTCACTGCAAATTTGCTGAAACAATGGGTCATTCTTTAATTCTTCCAGTGTAGCTTCATCATCTTGTCCCTGCTGACGACCTGGGTCAAACAGTAGATTTGGGTCTAAAGTGTTCAAATCATTGATACTGCCTGAGAGCTCAGAAGACAACCTGATGTCACTGGGGAAATCAGATGCAGCATTAGTGAGATCCGATGCGACCTGACCTACCAGCTGCTGGTTGGTTTGCAAGCTGTCTCCGCTCAGCAGGTCTTTAACAGTGCTACTGAAATCTAATTGTTGCTCTCCAATTTCAGATTGTGCTTGATTATCTCCGGGAGAAAAACTGATCTGATCCGTGCTATCACTTTTGGTGAGGTAAGATGGTGTTTGAAATTCATAAACAGAAGTGCTGGAATCAATCATATTTTGTGGATTGGCACTAGGAAAAACAGTGGAAGTCTCCAGAATCTGAGTGAGATTCATCCGGGCTGTGTAATTGGAGGGCAGATTGTTCATTCCCAAACCTCTCACTGCATCATCATTGTCAGAGTCAAGTTTACTCAATAAAACATTGGTTATTTTTTTACTGTTGGTTTGCTTCTGAAGAGCATTTGGGAAAGCTGTCTGCATCATGACTGTTAATGGGACTGACTGACTTCTCTGAGCGATGTTGTTGGCACATGTGTCGGTTTGAACATTTGTGAAAACATTAACTTCTGGGGTTACCGGACTTCCAAAGGGGGTCACATTAGATCGTGGGATATTAGACACCGGATAGAGGGTGCTTCCACTAAGATTTCGTTGGCGATGGACAGCGGGGCTCACACTCCGGCATCTGAAGTTGCTGCTGGCAGACGAATTAGTTCCTTTATTATCCAGAGGGGCAGGGACTGCAAAGCCTTCCTGCTTGTTGGTGTTACTTACTGGGGCACCTTGATGTTGCACAGGAGAGACAGGAGTCAAACGACCAAAATGAGTGTCATGGTGTCGAGACTGGGACTGGTAAGACTGCCCTGGCACAGCAAAAGCATGAGGTTTCCTGAAACGGTCTTCCACTAGTTCCTGATAGCTTGGGAGAATTCCATGGCCAGAAACTGACGAATTACCAACCCCACTATACCCATTATTCATCCATTCAAGCTTAGTTTTGTCAGGGTGTGTGGCCATTGGTCTTTGCATTGGCTTCACAGGACTACTTGAGACAATGCTGGCATCATGATAGGCCATACTGGAGCTTATTGGGGTGAATGCAAATGGATTCCTGCATTCAACAGGGCTGGGAGGGACGCTACTGCTGCAGTTAGAATGTGGAGTACCAATGGGGGTGTGTCGGCTACTTCCTAAAGCGCTATCCACAGGTGTTGTCTGGGCTAGCCTGGAACAAGGGCTGTCCCGAGACAGACTTTGAGATCCGGCAATCATTTCAGACGTTGGGGTTGGAGTTGGGGTTGGGGTGGGTGTAGGAGTTGGGGTAGGTGTGGGTGTGTGGATTGGTGTGCCATTGCTGTGGATTGGATGGTAGAAGTGGGTGCTGGAGGTGTGAGATGACATTGGAGCTCCTGGAGTTATGGACTGACTCTGAAGGGTCATCCCCAAACAGTTACCATAAGAATGCGAATTGTTCATTGACATTTGCTGCTCCATAAGCACCAGCTCTTCCACAATACTATCTTGTGTGAGTTCATCATCAAAAGGAAAGTAGTTTTCATTTGTCTGGGTAACAGAAGGCTCAAATTCCTTCAGTTCGGACTGTAGAGGTAACTGATCTGAAGACTGTGCTTGTATTTGACTCAAAGAAGATTCTTGTATCTGGCTATGCAGCTGCTGGCTGTATGTATCCTGTGACATTCCTTCTAACTCCCAAACAGATTTCTCTAAGTCGTTGATATCAGAATGCTCAGGAATTGTCATAACACTGATAGCCTGCTGTTGGTCACAGCCAGCAGATATAAACTCAGAATCCTTAGAGACTTGTTGCCATTCATTTGGATTAAAGCTGCCATCTGATTTTGAATCACTGTCTAAGAGAAAGACACTCCTTTCAAGTTTTACTTTGATGTCTGGAGATGATGAGGGTGTTGCCTGCTGTTCCAAAGCTGAATCACTGATAAGAAGGGTAGAAGAATTCAAGGGTTGATTTTCCACTATGGGTGAACTGACACTTGTTGATACCTTGCTAGGAATCTGAGCACCTGTGGTGGAACTTTCTATTTTCCCTGAATGTGGAACCTTTTGGTCTTTCTTAACACTACCTGGTTTCTGACCTTCTATGACAACTGTAGAAAGCTGTTCCACAATTGGTTTCTTCACAGGAGGCACCTGCGACTCTTGTAATGTAGAAGATAGTCGTTTCCGTGGACTTTTAGTGCATAATTTAGGGTCTTTACTTATTGAGTCACCATTAGATGGTGAGCTGGTGCTGGTGAAAGTTAAGTTCTGGGTGGCAACTGGGAGAGTGACAGTGCTTTGATTATTGCCTGTTGAAGTGCCTGGCAGAATTTCATTACAGCGACTTTTACATTTGGTCCTCTGGTCACAGACCTTGGTGGCTTTTATTTCAGTGATACTTTCACTGGAAGGTTTTTGCACTGCTCCATCCGTGCTGCTTTTCTGTCCTGTGAGGGCACTAGATGTTGCCTGGGGAGTTTTAGCCCCATCAGAGTTCTCTTGGCACTGCACAGGGTGCTCGTCTGATGATACTTCAGGTTCCATTTTCACTTCCACGGCAGACGTTCCCCCAGTACTGCTGGTCCTAGAGCCTGGAGACTGAAGAGAGATAACAGAACCATTCTTGATTTGGGGAACACTCCTTGATTCTTCTGTTGTTGCTGTAGCGCTGCTGACTGAGGCAGAATGTTTAAGAGGGTTATGACCGTTGCTGGGTGTGAGGGATATTGTTGTCATTTTCACCACATTTAGAGAACTCACATGGGAAGCGGGCACGACGGCGGTTTTGATGGGACTGCTAGTAAAGAGCACAGTCGTTGGAGAGCGGATGGTGAGCGCACTGGTGTTAGCTGGTTTGGGTAAGATCTGAGGGTAACGGTGCCGGGCAGAACGATCCCCACCAGGGCTGGCTGGAACGTTCTGAGGAGTCTTTGGTGTCTGCTTCACAGACTGCATGTGCTGAGTGACCACCTGCACGTTGAGGGGAAGAACTTTACCATCGGATGAACTCACTGGACTTGGTGAAGTCACCAACTGCCCGGTCCGCTGAACCTGTTAAAAGAGAAAATGAGAACCATCAGAGAAAATGGAGGACATAAACAGTAGCTTGTCTACATCTATGGAATTAAGGCATTCATGAAATGTTAATGCTAGAAAGAAACATAAAGATAATTCCTATTCTGGAGGAGTTATTTTAGACCAGGTTGTGTACAACCAGAAAAAATCCATAATGCAATTTATTTACAAAATAAAAGTGCCACATAAGAACACCACTAAGACACCTTCGTATAAACAAAAGTAAAAACTTTGTATCTATAATGAATTCTTAATAAAACTGACTTACAGGAAGTGACAGGAAGGAGATTTTAAAGAAGAATCTATGCCAAGATGCTCACTCAAAGGAGATACTCTGATAGCAATCAACCACTGGGGGCAGGTGACTAGCATCCTGCCTGACTCACTCCCAATCCAGCTCCTTGATAATGTGCCTTGGAAAGTAGCTGAAGATGGTTCATGTACTTCAGCCCCTGCCTCACACGGAGGAACCTGAGTGGAGTTCTGGCTCTTGGTTTTGGCCTGACCCATGCTTACCCACTGCAGACATTTGGAAGTAAACCAGTAGACAGAATCTCTTTCTCTTTCTCTGTTTCCCACTCTCTCTAACTTTGCTTTTCAAACAAACAAATAAATAATCTTAACAGAAAAACCCAATTGTTCTACCTTGAACTTGAGTAACTAAACCACTCTGAGACACTAAACCTAAACAAGTTTGCACTACAGTGAACAGAGCAGCTTGTAGTATTTCCCATTTTAATGACATAAGGATGATGAGAGCAATAAAAAAACACAAGATGAAATATCTCCTTAATAATATTACCAATAATATCATAAAGTTTCACTTTATTTTTGCACGCTACACTTTAAAGTCCCCATTATATTCCCTGCTATGTGAGATAGAAGAATATTAAAAATAAAGAAACAAACTTGGGGTTACAAAAGGACTTGTCCAAGTCACTATATTCAGCATGTTGCAGTGATAATCTATGTTAACGCATTACTCATACATATTACAATTGTGTTCCATCTGAATATTAAAAAGAAAAAAAATTAACTCACAGAAAGTTTGCTACTGTAATAACTATGATACAACTCTAAAAATGACTCACTGTTCCATAAAACTCTGGTAATATGCATATTCTGTAGGTCTTATAACTTTATGTTTTCATGTTAATCATATGACACTTCGTAATTAACAATGCCCATGTGGAGTGAAAGATACTGGCTGAAGGGGACCAAAGACAAGTGTCAATTTTTTTTGAAGATTTATTTTATTTTATTTTATTTGGAAGGGAGCGGGGAGAGAGAGGACAGGAGAGACAGAGGGAGGGAAGGAAAAAGAAACAGAGCAAGCCAGGGAAGAAGGAAAAGAGGAGGAGGGAAGGTGAGAGACAGACAGGGTGAGAAAGAAAGACAGAAAGATACAAAGGAAGAAACAAAGATTTTCCATCTGCTGGTTTACTTCTCAAATGGCTGCAATGGCTTGGACTGGTCCAGGCTGAAGCCAGGAGACAGGAACTCAATCCAATTTTCCCATGCAGAGCATCAAGCACTTGGGCCATCTTCTGCCTTTTCAGGAGTATTAAGAGGGAGCTGAGTTGGAGGTGGAGTAGCTGGGACTTGAACTGGTGCTATGAAATGCCAGAATCCCAGGCAGCAGTTTAGGTTACTTTGCCCAATATTAGCTACAGTTTATGTGTATATCTACACCTGCCTTCTTTTCAACTTCCATTTTTTTAAAAAAAAAATTAACTTAATTTGTGTATTTGAGGTAGAAAAAGTGAAAGGGGACACACACACACAGAATGGGTTCACTCTCAAGTGCCTGCAATGGCCAGGGTTGGACAGGTCAATCATGGGCGCAGGGATCTCAACAGGAGTCTCCAACATGAGTGGCATCTCCTACCGCCTCTCCAAGTGCACATTAACAACCATCTGGAATAGAAAGTAGGTTTGGGACTTGAAAGAGGCCCTCCCTTATTGGATATGGAAATCCTAACTTGCACCTTAAATGCTAGACCAAATGCCCACCTCACATCTGACTCTTAATTAAAGCACTGATTTCCTGCCATCCCACTAAGGTCAAATACTACTTAATGATATTACCGGAATGGGACTAGGGACAGCTGCCACAACGATACCAATAGGTTGAGGAGAGAGGATTGCAGAATTTCCATTTGGAAGATTAGTCACTCCATTGGCTGTAGTGCCTTCTGATTTTTTTGCTGATGATTCTCCTGGCAAAGGGGACTGTAATTTCTGTTCTTGCTGCTTCTTCTGGATTTTCCGTTGCAGCTGTTGTTTAGCATCAATAGGAGATGGCAAAGTCTTCACCTGCGGCTGAAAGGAATTACTTTCAGCTGTAGGTATAAATGCAGATGTCTGGGGAATTCCTTTAATTCCTGAAAATAAACAGAAAGGAATGCTCAAGTAAGTACTCTTCTTTTACAGCAGGCAGTTAAAACTCAGTTTCTTTGACTATGCAGCCATCTGCTGGGCAGAATAACCAAAGCAGAAAATTATAATTTGTGATTTCTCTGATAAGCATAAGGAGTAGACCTCCAATTTATAAACTTTTATCAGTATGATTTTAATTGACATTGTAAAATATGATTGAACTCAGGGGACTGTTTGAGTTTTACAGCAACACAAACAATTCTGAAGTGAGTAAGCCACAAAATAACATGTGCAAGAGCTAAGGTAAGCATCAAGACAGCATTATCAACTGTCAGTGGTTTTTTTTTCCCCTTTTCTAATATGCAAGTTAAGTATTTCCGTGATTTCAATATTCAGCCCACAAGGGTATTTAGTAAACATTTGCTGAAAATATTCTACATTTAGAAGATAGATGCTACACTTTCATTGCATGTAAATGGTTATTTCAGTGTGACTGAGAAGAAACTAAGAAGCAGAAATTCTCAAGGTCAAGCTCTTCTCAGAAAGTGCCATTTAGGAAACCAAAACAGCAGTGGGGAATTCGCTGTATTACTACATAATTTTCTGTTTTGTTGATAATAAAGACACATAAAGAAGCCTTGGGGGAAAAAAAAGGATAAAATGAACAAGACATATATGAAGAAAAAAAAACAGATTAAGTAATAAAAGTTTACCTTCTTACAAAGCTCTTTTTCACACTTGGGTTGTAGTATTAAGAGCATCAGAAAGCAAGCTGTGGTCAATAAAAGCAGGGAGAGAAGAAAGGGGAGGAAAACACAATCTTCCTGGTAAACCTCTCCCAGCCCCATTTCTGCTTTTTATCATTCTAGCTAACAGGTACAACCAGAGGATGGGAGCAGACAGAGAACAAAAAGACTGGAAGTCTCTCCCACATAATCCCTCATTAATAATCCTTCACTTTCTCTGCCACTTCGGTATTCCTTTTCTCTTTAAATCCAGCTCAGACTGTACTCTTCCCTCTGAGCCCAACCTTCAGCTGCACCCTGGAGGGCCTCTGCCAAGGGCTCACAGTTTGGCTGCCTTATCCCTCTTGCCAGGGTTTCGAGACAGGAATGAGGTCCAAGCAGCTGACTTACAAAAGGACATTTGTAACACAACCTGTTCTTAACATGGAGACTATATTTATTAAGAAATCAATTTCACCTTCAAAGGATGAAAATTATTCCACTACCAAGGATGTTTTTAAAAAATGTTATTAAGGGCTGAAAACACAATTTAAGAACTGATTGAAAATGGGTTGAGTATTCTTCCAACTCATACAGTGCTTAAGCCGCCTGCACTGACTGCTTTCAAAACACAGAAAACTTTTATTTACATACTATGGGTCTTAAGTAAATTCATGAAAAATGCATATTGCAAAATAGTAGCATGAATTTACAATATTATTGCACCCAAATTATTTTAATTCACTTCACTTTTTGTACAATATTTTCAAGTACCTGTGCATATAATGTTTAATGTTTTTAAAAACTTTATCCGTTCAAATTTGCTTCAGTCCCTCAATACTGATTTCAGTTAGACTTGTGAACAATGTGAGGAATAACACAATCCTATCTCTTTTCCTTGCAATGTCTGAGCCCTCAATCTGTTGAAGAATTGCTCACTGTCAGGATGGGGAGGTGGAACGGGAAGCCGAAGGGTCCATGCCTCTCCCGTTTCATTCTGCCACAAGGTAAGAGAGTAGTATGATAGAACAGAGTTAACTTGTGCTTTGTAGATGGGAAAATCAGGATCCAAACAAACCCTTGCTTTGCTATTTATTTATCCATGGACAAGTTTCTTAACCTTCCTGTTTCTTGATCTGCAAATTGGGGATAAGTATCATCTATCTCACTGGACTGCTGGGGTAACTTTAGCCACTTAGGTAGCTGCTGCCAAGCACATGTCTGCTTAAGTGTAAGTAGAGTGAATAGATTTAGGGCATACGGATTATGCACACACAATATTAGGACTAACTCTTGTGGAGGCAATTTCGTCAGAATGTATCCTCTATTGACCACAATGAGAGGATGGATCACACACACATCAAGATGCTTAAAGCTTCTGATACATGTAAAGCAAAAAATAAAACTGATCGTTCAAATGTGCAAATTAAAATGCTAAAAAAGTGAAAAAGTGAAATAATTATGAGTATAATTCTGGCTATCATAGATCTATTGTATGTTTCAAAATATTTAAAAAGAGAATCAACTTGGAAAACAAGTTTCATAGTAACATGTTTTCAGAGATGTTAACTTTCTAGAGTTACCAAGCAATTTCTTCACCATTAAGTTTATGAGGTGTGACCAAGATGTTAAAATTTCATCAGAACTGACACACACAGTTGCTATTCATTTAGGAGGGCACATTTATTCCACTGATACTATTAATTCCTAGAACTGTGAATTTCAACAAAGAGTTCACTTGAATTAAAATGCTAATTTACGTATATATTTAAAAAATATCCGGTGAAGCCAGCATCATGGCATGTTGCAGGTTAACCCTTTTCCTGTAATGCTGACATCCCATCTGGGCATAGGTTCAAATTCCAGCTGCTCTGCTTATGGTCCAACTCCCTGTCATTGTGTTGGGGAATCAGTGACAGATGGCCCAAATCCTTGGGACACTGCACTTATGTAGGAGACCCAGAGGAAGTTCTGGACTCCTGGCTTGAGAATGGCCCAGCTCTGGCTGTTGTGGTCATTTGGAGAGTGAACCAGTGGATGGAAGATCCCTATCTAAGTCTGCCTTTCAAGTAAAAATAAATCTTAATATATGTATATATATATTCCTTTTTATTTTACAGTAATGCCTCAAAACAGTATTTTTATGCGAGACTGTTTTTTTTTTCTTATCATAGTGCATAAAGATCCCTTTAGTTATAAGTGTTAGTTTCTAGGATAGGATTCTAATGTGTAATTTTATTTATTTGAGAGGTAGAGAGATATAAAAAGGGTTAGAGAATATTGTCATTCTCTGGCTTACTTTCCATCTGCTGGGAGCTGGGAGCTCCACCTACGTCTCCTGCGGGTGCAGAAACTAAATGGCTTGAATCATCACCTGCTGCCTCTCAGGGATGTATCAGCAGGAAGCCTGACTTGGCAGTGGAGCTCAGGACTGAACTCAGACACTCCGAGATGGGATGCGGCTAGCTCCACTGGCACCTTTACTGCTGGGCTGGCCTCCCACCCCTTTTTACTTGAATTTAACCTGTTTGAGACATAGAGAAAGACTAGCATGGAATTTCAAAATTTAGCCTGATCTTGTTAGATACATATTTTCTTTACATTTAAAAATAACAATGGGGAAATTAAGAAAATACCAGAGAATCCAAATCATTTTATACATTTTTTAAAAGTGTTCTCTTTAAAAGGGTTTTTATTTATTTGAAATGCAGAGAGACAAACAGAGAAACAGAGAAAGATGTTCTATCCACGGGTTCATTCTCCAAATGCCTGCAACAGCCAGAGCTGGGTCAGATATGAGCCAGGAACCTGGAGCTCAACCCACGTGTTCCACAGGGATGGCACCGGCTCAAGGACTCGAGCCATTACTGCTGCTCCAAGGTGTGCATTAGTAGGAAGCTGGGAGTGGAAGTGAGGTGAAATTTCAACTCAGTACTCCCAACCAGTCTCTTAACCACTTTCCCAAAGTCCTGCCCCTAGTTTTATTTCCATGGACCAATATAGAAAAATACAGGAGTAAGATTTATAATTAAACGGCTATTTTATTTTGTTGGTTCGACAAACTCATCAAAATTTAGAATAACTGGAGATTAAATGAACTAACAAAAATACCAAAAGGATGAAGCTCTTTGGTCAAATACCTTCTTTCCTGTGATCAATTCTAAACAGAGTAATATTCCTGTTAGTTTGAGCAATAATTTCATACCTGCTGGTGCTGCTGCCATTACAGTTAGAGCTGCCATTGACTTGGTGCCTATATAGTGACTTTTGACAAGAAAGCGGGCTAATTCCAAGACTGTATCAAATGGCTGGCTTAGCACTTTCTGGGCCCACTCACATACAAGACGACAAGCAGAGGAGATAACTTCTTCGTCAATATTCTGAAGCTGCCCAGAAGGCTCAGCTCCTTCCAACTAAACAAAGAAACAAGGAAAAGTTAACTTCTTAAAGGAAAAATCAGAGAAATTAGACTGAAGCGTAGTCAAGAAAGGCATTCTTAGCTGGGAGAACGAATCTGTCATGTGAAAGCACAATGAAGTCACGTATGGGCAGACAATAACTCCTTCCCAACACAATTCAGCACATGTCAGCCAGCAACATCTTAAAAAACTTAGCAACTATGTCACCTGTCATAATTTTTTCTTCTGAAAAATATTTACGATGTAGATATTATTATGCATTTCTTTTCTTACATACCATGGACATATCTACAAATCAGTAACTTCAGGTCTTCTTTCTCTCAAGCTTCATGGTAATTGCATATAATACATGCTAATACTTTTTAGTCACTGTAGGTTCTTTTGCTCATTTTTGTAAAAGGCGCATTTTCTTGTCTCTGGTTTTATCTACATAATACTTTGCAGGAAAAAGCTCAATGTTCATCACAACTGTACAAGTCTACTTATTAAAATAAAAAGGTGTAATTCTTACCCCATCTCCAGTTTTGTGAAAGTCAAGGTTGGGCAGTGTTGGCATATGAACAAAAGCTTTTTTTCTTAGTCCACTGTAGCAATATGTAATACATAGTTAAGGTCAAAAATACTCTAACTTACATGAAAAATGTACACAGATAGCACTTGAGAAATAGTGATCTATGAAATCAGAATAAAGACAGCATAAACATCTGAATCTTTCTGAATTCTTCAGTAAGATATACCTTAATACTAGAAATTCTGGTATTTTCACACTTTTCAAACTGGACTAGTCCTTCTGGAATGTTGACTATTACTATCTCTAAATGAAACGATTCTCATCTGCTGTATAAATTTTATGAATAAATGTTCCTAATATGCTGTGCCAGTAACAAACAGGTCAAGAGGAAAGGAATAGCTAGATGGAAACCTGGCACAGGGAAGGGAAACTTTAGCCCAGGGCACTGGGACAAAAACAACTCTTAAGAGTGTCACAAGGGCTTTAACCTTTTCATTTCTCTTTTTCCACTGAAACACACAGGATTATCACCTACAACATGCCAAAGACACATCAAGACGTTTTTGTTTGTATTCAGGAAACAAGGATAGGTCTTGCAACACCAGGGTGAAAAACACCAGGAACATTTCAGAAAAGCTTTCCTCTTTCCCCCCTTCTTCAGCTGCTCTACAGTAGCTAATGTTATGTTCTGAAAAAGGCCAAGAGCTGAGCAGGGAGAAAATAAGTGTGCTTCCGCCAGAGACCCTCTGTTTCACAATCTTCTTCCAAGAGCAGAAAGAACTCTAATTTTCATTTCTTTACTTTTGTTTGCTCATTAAGTATTTCCTCATCATAAGAAGGACCTTTTCTATGTTTTTGCTTTTATTTTAAAACATAAAGAGCTGACTGAAAAACTGATGTGAATATTAATCTTTCAATACAGCTCCATAAGAAATGGTTTTGAATACCATTTTTTTAAGCTAAGGTGATCCCCCTATTTCTACATTAAAGAAAAAAATAGGCTAGCTTATTTCTCTACATTTATTGATACAATTTCTAATTGCTGAACATATGGTATGGTTTAATAATTCTCTGTGTTAAAGCAAAAGAGATCAGACCATTAACAACATTTAACAGCAACAGAGCAAAGTAAAAATCTATCACAATCTCAACATAGAAACGAATTATTATTTGGTATTTCTATTGCAGTTTGACAAATAGCTGGGAAAACAATATTTGTAATCACTCTACCAAGTACATTTGAGTTGTTTATATCTGTTGATCTAAATTTAATTCTAAATATAGCTGCCAGTTGAACTACAACAACAGATGGTTCTACAATGAATGAGAACCCAGAGACTATTAAAACCATTCTGGTAAAGGATATTTAGATTTGCCTCTAGTGCCCAAACGACGTGCCTTCATGTTTGGAAAGACGTTTTTCATGATCTTTCCAAAGTCAGCAGCACTTAACGGATGGTAACCAAGATTGTCGCAATAGCTCCTGCAAAAGAATGAGGGACCAATTTAGAGTGACAAGTCAAAATTACATAGCAATGTGCTACTTCAGAATGATTTGATCCCTCTGACAAAGCAAAGCAAGAAATCACAGTTTACATGACCATCATTTTTTGGAGACTTGTGTTAACTTAGGTTTAGCCAGCTGGATTCACCTTCAGAGTACACAGAAAATCAAAGTAAGATAGAACATTGGTACAAAGTTTTCCGACTACAATCCAGCTGAACTGAACTGTACTCTGAAATGAAGGTATCTATCCAGCATAATCAGTGGGGCTCTGGTTCCATGTATGTATCAGGCTCACATACTGAGATGACCTCCAACATAACCACCACGCATTTGATATTAGACACAATATCATTTAAGATGGTTTAAAATTCAGAAACATCGTATGTTAGAACTAAGAGACTTGGCCCATCTATACCAATGTTCTCAAGTTTTACTGATGAAGGAAACACAAAGGCAGAGAGAGAGAGGTTTTGGAGACCCAATGTTTTCTCTCTTCACTCCTTCTAAGGCAGTATTGCTAAAAAATAAGTTACTTTGTAAGACAGATAACTTCACGTGGGATAAGGGAAGCAAGCCAGTCTTAACTCCTACTGAAATCAGGTGCTGTGTTTTCTTTTGAGTTGCCTGGGATAAGCAAAATGCCAATCCTGTACCAGTTAAGCAGAGACCAAGGTCACATCCTGTTCTGGCTTACAAAGTCTTTCTCAAAATTGTTGGCCTTTGGAAGAACCACTATGTAGGAAATGCCAAAGACGAGGAATTTAAAGGAATTCCGTATTTCCCTGCCTCCCTCCCATTCAGCAACAACCAAGGCAGCTTCCTGATAAAGAAATCATGAGCAGAAGAAATCACAAAAATCCTAAGGGATGGAGTTAAGACCCAGAAAGAAATAGAAACTGGGAGGCATGGTAGGTAGGGACTTGGATTGCTGTAGACTGCTGAATTTCCCGATTTGGAACTAACCTTGGAACTAACACTTGGAACTAACCTTAGCTTTAGCAGTCAAATTGGGAGAGTCAGGAAGAGGCAGAGACTCCTAGGAGCCTTCATACAGACAAAATGGAAACAGACACAGACAACAGTATATCTTTTGGATATCCCCTACAACAAATTGTTCATATCCTTGGGGTTTGGGGTGGAAGGAGCTACTCAGCAACATTCAACAGAGCTAGAGGTAGGGAGAAGGAAAGAGGAACAAACATGCATTGAAATTTTCCTCTGTGGGAAGCTGCAAGGTACTTTATATTTACAGAGACTAACTGTGATAACTCTAAGTGGTTTGGAGGTCAACACTGAATATATGAGAGTTAAGAGCGGATTATTTTTTAGTGCAGACAATGGAAATAAATGGCAATAAATAATGAAAATTTCCTTAACAAGTGAAACTAGTCATTTTTATGGGTTAAATCAGTACAGAAAAAATGTGAATGAAATTAGGCCCTTGGCCTCTTAGGGTTTGACACATTTCTCAACTTACAATATTGCCTTTTATACTCTTCAATGCTCAGCTTAAGTTATGATTTTGAAAGTATCTCTACCTTCTCTAAAATAGTACTCATGCTACTCTCACTAGATTTTTTCTACCAGTGTACTCTATTTCCTCTCATGATTCAAAATTACGTAATTTTGAATTTACTTGTTTGTTACTTGTATTTCATTCTAAGTTCAACCTGGCAGTGATCTCAGCTTGGTTCACCACTGGATTCTCAGCATCAGGAAAGAGAATTAAGAGTCACATTAAGCCTGTCTGTGCGCTATCTTAAAACAATGAGAAGCTTTAGAGAGACACATTAAAGACTAATAAAAAGCTGACTCCTGTAACAGCCCTGGCATGTGAGCCTAAAAGACTAAAATCAAATGTGAAGCAGGACATTCTCCCTTTACAATTCAGATTCTGATGCTGCTTTCATTATATTATTTCAGTAACATCTTTCTAGTGGTGGGAAGAAGACTGGCCATAAAAAATATTAATAGCATATTCACAAATATGATCAATGTCAAATTTGATTTCCAATAGTTTATATTAAATGGTGACTACAAAGAATGCTCATGTAATTCTGCCTGGCTTATTTATTCTATCCTCTGAAAGATGAGGCTTTTTTTCACAGCAACCTCACCTTCAGAATAGTCTTCGGTGGATAAATATTAAAAGTATCCGTGAATACAGAGTCAGTTCAAATTACTGCACCTAAGTGATAGGCAGTGCTAGAAGAAAATACTTTTGATTCAACTTTAATACTTTCACATTGCTTATATCGAAGAAAAATAAAACTTCTGTTTAAATAACACCAATATTCAGAATGAGTCCTCAATTTCTTGAATTTCGTGAAATCTTAGAAGTAGATATGACTTAACAAGTTGTGTAGATGGATATCCTGCCAGATGCAGAAGTGGTCATACTCCTGCATGAGGGGTATATGTGCTGCCGAAGCGAGCCCATCCTCCTGCATGAGGGATAACCTTAATATGATCACTTCCCTAACAGGAAGAGCTCTTCATTGTCAGGTGGCTGATCCAATTCTTATCAGTTCTAGCTTACAAAGAATTCTATCATCAGAGCCATTTCCAGATGGGAAGATCTAGACAGTCGATGATTGTAAGCTAGTAAGAACTTAGGGGATATCTGTTCATGATTTTGATAATGATATTTGCAAAGTTCATGGAGGGGTTGGTATTTTGGTGTAGCAAGTAAGACTACTAGTTGCAGAGCCAGTATCTGATATGGGCACCATTCAAGTCCTGAATGTTCCACATCCCATCCAGTTCCCTGCTAAATATGCCTGGGAAAGCAGCAGGAGATGGCTTAAGACATGGTCCCTTGCACTCACACAGGAGACTCCTGGCTCCAGCCTGGTCCAGCCCTGGGTGTAGTGGTTAGTTGGGGAATGAATCAGAGGATGGAACACATGTCTTCCCAAACCCCATCCTACTTTCTAACTCTTTTCCCAAAATTAAAAAAAAAAAAAATCATGGGATTAAACTTTATTAAAAAAAAGTATGCAAGAATTAAAAAAAAATTTTTTTTTTTGCACCAGAAGTAAACTTATCTTTTAAACTCCATTTTCCCATGAACTGTGTAAAATACCTGTGTATAAAAAGTCTTAGGTTATTTCAGGCCATGTGGCGATCCTGGTTAGTTCATATCTTATTTTTTTTCTATAACATTAACTACAGGCTGAGCAAGCAAGATGAGCAGTTAATATCTACCTCAGCATCACATTATATTTATGCGAAACTCAGAATAAAGTGAAGAAACAACCCAATGTTATTTTAAAATGAGATTATTTGTTTCCCCTCATGCTCTTGGGCTAAAATTATGTTTCTAAGACTGAGAGCAAGCCCAATATTCAATCAACTGACCAGAAATGTGTCCTTTAAGATCATAGTAGCAATTCATTTCAACTTTTATTCATAGCACCTACAATTTAATTATATAAATTCAAGGTAAAGATTGCAAATTCGCAAAACATACAAACAGAAACAGGGTATGTAACTGTACCTGGTGTTTTGTGAGCACTCTGCATGCATGTATTACCTCCTTAGTCCTCTCAACAGCCTCGAGGCAAGCATTGCTAACACATACATACATCTGTACACGAGGAACTGGCAGGGATGTGCTTCGGGAAATGATCTGGTCACATCCATTTATCTTACAGATCAGACATTTTTATTGCTAATTAATGACTGTTATTATACTGAATGCCAAGAAATCAACTAAAATTACATAATCAAATATGAAACAGTTTACAAACAAAAGAATTTGTGGAGAATGATAGAGTATGAAGTGGGTAGGATCGAGCTGGACTACAACACCCAATGGTTCATGTGGAAAACAGGGCTGGAAACAGAATGGACCCAGCAATTGCAATGACCAGCATGTGCATAAGCTGATTGGTGTGACAGACGGTGCCAGACCCTGTATTGGCAAATTCACACAAGAATCAGGTTTGGGATCATCTCAGATGAAGTTTCTTTGGAGATCCCTCCAACTGAACTGCTGATCACAGAACCCCAACCATGAGAGACTATGTCAGCCAGTGGATTCTGAATAGATTGGAAAGGCGAAGACTGGCAGCAATTCAGAACTGTTGAAATATCAAAACTGCTTGAGCAGGACCCTTAGAGCGCCTCGCAAGGGGACTTGGGATGGGAGGGAGGCTGGGTGGGGCTTTTCCCTTTGTTTCTCCCCTGACCCCAGATACAGGGGAAAAAATGATATTAGTGTGGAAACAATGGTATTACCCACTTTCCAGTAGCCCTTGACCCTTTGTACCCTAATCAACTAAGTAAGATTATTTAAAAAACAAAACAAACAAAATAAACAGCAAAAAAAGGTTATCTTCTTATCTAGTCTCATATTATCATTTTGGTGAATGTTAGCATTTGTATGCTAATGATAACAATAAAGGATGTGGGAGTTTAGGGAGACCACAAAGATATGGTAGAATTGTATATTCTTAAAAGTACTATCAAACAATACGTTTGCTAGGTAATATGGAAGGCGAATGAAGTAAAAGTAATAGGGTTCAGTATCTAATTAGTCTAAAGCTGTAAATGTGGAACAGCTGTTGAAATCCTTTTCAGCGTTACAAAAACCTACTTTAAAAAATTTATGAGCGAGTGAGTGAGTGAGTGAGGGGAGGGAGAGAGAGTTTAATCTAACGGTTCATTCTTCAAATGTCCACACTGGTCTTTGGAACTGAACCTGAGAGCTGGAAACTCAATCCAGGTCTCCCAAGTGGGTGGCAGACTTGATAATTAGTCATCGCTGCTGTGGGCCAGGATCTGAATTAGCAGGAAGCGAGAGTTTGGAGCAGAACCCAAGCACTCCATTATGGACATCTTAATTGACACCAGTCTGTTGCCATCCCCCAGTAATTCTGCATCCAAGTTCTAAGAAGAAATCACACCCTGTGACTCTTGAGAGAAAGTCGTCCACAAGTGTCTGAATTTAATGAAAATGACATTTGTATTTT